TCTAACCTCCCCTAATGCTGACATGGCCACCCCGGTCCTACAGACACTCAGACAAGACCCTGGGCCCTGGCGGCTCCAGGGTGGTGGGGGCCCTGCCTCATCTCCCAAGCCTCAGGCTACACCCCTGTCCTCCAGCAGGTCATTTCTGGAGCTGCCCCTAAGGATTCAGCCTTATCCTTTGCTGGCATCCAGTCTCCCGCCAGAGGCAGCCTGATCCGAGGCTCAGCCCCTCCTGGCATGTGAGCCTCTCACCTGGGTCTCCTTCCCGTCTGGCAGCGCAGACCCCACCCTGTAGGGAGGGAAACCGAGCCGTGACCCTTCCACCCAACTGCTGGGTGTGAGTCCCAGCTCTGCCTCGTGTGACCTTGGGCCAGTCCCCCATCTCTGCAAGCCTGTTTCCTCACATGGTAATGGAGGGGGACAGGTGAGAGGCTCACACATCAATGGTCCACACAGCACCAGGCAGGTGTCCCGGAAGTGGGAGGTGACGAGCATCTCTAAGCCACTTAGCCCTTCCTGGCAGCTCCAGGAACATCTGACATCTGCAAAACATCATCTGGTAAGTGTTACCTTTTCCCCACTAGTAGGCCTAATGCTAGTAAATGTGTGTAAGGTGTTTATGAGAATGTGCATGATAAATGACCGCATCCAGTGTGCCCCAGGCAGCCACAGGGCTACCCTGCAGACACAGGGCCTCGCTTACTTGGCACTCCACCACTCCTGCACTGAGGCCGCCGTGCGGGGCAAGGAGGAGGCATCCGTCTGCCCTCTATCCCTAGAATCTAAAGAAAAACGGGACTTCATCACCAGGCCCCCTGCAGAACGTAACACAGGGCCTGTCACAGGGGAGGGGCTCAATAAATACTTGGGAAAGTATGGATTCTCAAGAGCCCCTGGAAGGCATCTCCGTCAACCAGCCACGGTGCTGAGAATTCCTCCATCAGCCCCTCCTTTGGGAAAAGGTTCCTATGAATATAGAGAAGGTTCGTTCAGCACAACATGCCAAGAGCTCCTCCAGCAATCCAGGAAGAGTGGAAATTGGGGGTACATGTCAGGCCAGGGCCAGGGAGGGCCCTTCCTCCCCAGGCCCGTGGACCCCAGCCAGACAGAGATGCCAACCAAGGACATTTAGCGAAGTGCAGGATCATTTCCTCTAAGATGCCTGTCACCTCCTGGAAGGAAAGGCTTTAACTGCTCATTCTCAGCCAGGAAAGAAGTCACAATGTCCAAAGTGGTGTGTGTGGGACTTTGCCAAAGCACTCTAGAAATTCCAACACCCACCCCCACCTGGGCGTTTCACATTGAACAGTGTGGAGGCAGCAAAACGGGTTGAGAATCAGTGTATTAAACCTCAGCACCTTCTAAGTGAGCGATCCTCATAAAAATAATTGTGCATAAAAATAATTCAGGGGTGCTTGTTAAGAGGCATCCTGAGTCTTCACACATATCTGAGTCAGTGGGTGTGAGGTAGGGACCTGGAATCTGTGTTATTAACAAGTGTCCTACTGGTACAGACCCCTGGGCCATCCTTCGAGGAACCCACTTCTACCTCATTGGACGGGGTTGCTAGAAGCCTGTTAGGAGAAGCAGGTGGTGGTGGTGGTAGGGGGAAGCGTGGGCCCAGGGTTCCTGAGGGCTGTGACCAAGGGCAGACTGTCCCACTTAACTTTGTTAAGGGCCGATCCAGCTGCCAACATGGAAGGCTGTGTGACTGATGGGGTCTGGACATGTCCAGCAGCTTAAAGATCCTCATTCATGCCAGCCAGCACCCCAGCCTTGGCAAGTGCATTCACTTCTCCCAGCATCCTCACCCAGTCTTTGCAACAGACAAGAAGAGGGTGGCCCACTGCACTTCACTGGTAGAGAAGAAACTGAGGCAGGCACAGGGCATCTGGAGATGGTTTGCTCCAAAAAGGTAGGGGCAAGAGAATTATAACTGACTGAGTGCCTGTTGCATGCCAGGCACTTTATATCCATCCTCATCAGTGAAGCAACTTGCCCAAAGTCAGACACACCTAGGAGCTGGGAGACACTGGTTTTGAATCCAAATTTGCCTGACTCTCAGCCCATACTCTTTCTAGAAAATGGACACCTGACCAGATAACACCAATTCTACCCCTCCAGGGGACTCTACCCCATCTCAGTGGGGCTCAGAGCTGGATGAACTCAGACCTCAGAGTGGCTCTCCATTTTGCCACCTGCGGGAGGCTGGCCCCACATATGCCACCTCTTTCTCCAAGGGACATCCCAGGGTTCCCTGACTCAGTGCTTTGGAGGCTGGGCCCGCTTCACTTCTTCCAGACCCTCTGAGAGCCAGCACCTGCAGAGCCAAAAGCTGTGAGTTGATCCTCCAAAGCGCCAAACCCACAGGTCAAGAGGCCAGAGGGAGAGGTCAGCACCCTTCTATTCCCACCCCCACTGAGCACAGAGGTATACCTTTTTTTTAAGATTTTATTTATTTATTAGAGAGAGAGAGAGAGAGAGAGGGTGAGCACAAGCAGGGGGAAGGACAGAGGGAGAGAAAGAAGCAGACTCCCCACTGAGCAGGGAGCCGGATGCGGGGCTCGATCTCGGGACCCCGGGATCATGACCTGAGCCGCAGGCAGCTGCTTAACCGACTGAGCCACCCAGGCGCCCCCAGAAGTATACCTTTGATGTCAAAAGGGCACAGGGTTAGGGGTCAGGATATGGACTCTCAATCCCAGTCACTTGACTTCCTGAAGCCTGTTTCCCCAACTGTAAAAAGACGACAGCACTCTTTCTCCTCAAGTGAAGGAATTATGAAATGATGGTTCAGTGTCTGTATTTTAATACCCGTATCATTACATAATCACTTTGTGAAGCAGCACCTCTGGCACAGAAGTCACTCTGTGCCTATTTAAGGACTAATCCCCTTAAGCATTCCCAGGAATGAGAAACCCACTGTGTTAAGGCTTCCAGGCTCTCTTGTCCTTCCCTTGGCCTTTGACTCCTGGAAGGCTGAATTTTTCTCCCACCAGGATCCCAGATTGTCCTTAGGGAGCCCCCAGGTGGGTTCATTCCCACCGTAACCCCTGAGGCTATTGGCTCCCTCCCTCTTCCCCTCCTCTTCCTCCTTAATTTGCGCTGTCTCCATCCCAAAAGCTCAGGAAGAGCTCTGGGAGACAACATTTTACCTGCGTTCCCAGCTCTGCTCTGACCCCTCAAGCTCTGTAGGGGTGGGGAGGAAGAGGCAGAGGAGGGGGGCATCAGGACACCTGGGTTTCTCATCCCAGCTCTGCTACAAGCCGGCAGTCACTGTGGGAAAGTCAGTGTGCCTGAGCTTTAATTTCCTCACCTGAACATGAGAACAGTGTATCCTGTAAGGAATAATGTAAGGAATCAATGCGATGAGCGCTGTGAACGTTCTTGATACAGCGGAGCGACCGCCACCACCCAGGGCAGAACGGACCACAAAACAGCATATGGTTCTCCATCATTTCTCACCAGTGAGACTTGTCTCCCAAGGGAAGGGAGAAGAGAAAGCCAACGCTCTTGAGCACCTCTGATCTGTCGTGTTCTGTGCTAGCAGGGGCCTCACCATAATGCTGTTAGGTTGGAATTAGCCCCATTTCACAGAGGAGAAAACTGAGGTTCAAGGAGCTCAAAGGATCTGTCAAAATGTAGCAGGTGAAGTGATAAGAAAGGGTCTCTTCTCTTTTCTCTCTGCTCCCCACCCTTTTCAAGGGGTTATGGTGGAGGGAGGGACGCAGGCTTGGGGCCCCTCATTCAGGCTCATGCAAGGGACCCAGCCAAGAAGATAAGCATTTCTGGTATGTCACTGGACTCCAGGGAGCAAACAGGATTCTGTCCCGGCCCAGGGCTTTCCGGAGACACACCTGCACAAGCAGCTGCCATTCCCAGCAGAGCTGCGTTCCCGGAAAGCACTGGGTCTGGGCGGTCCAGATTTGTTTAGTTATCTGACCACCTGGGAGGCCTGAGCACGTGGGCAGGCGTTGCCGGCCTCCCCACCTCTGCCTCCTCCATCACGCCCTGGTAAGGTGTCTTCTGCCCAGGCCCCGGCTGCTCTCTGCTCTCCTGACCACTCAAGGTTCTCACCCACCCTGTCCCCATGGAGAGAGGGGGGACCGGGTCCCGGAGCTACTCCCTAATCGTGTGAGGGACTGGCTTAGGTTGACAGAGAGCGTGTGTCTGTGTGTGACCTGAAAGGAAGTGTGAACACACTGTGCCCACAATGACCTTGGACCACTGAGGATGTACGTGTCCTAGCGGTGTGGCAGCAACCTGTCCCCACACTCCTAGGAGTGTGGCCGCGTGTCCCGGGCACGTGGGGTGGGAGGACGGCTGCCCTCGGCGTCCGATCACTTCCAGGGGTGTGTTTGTGCGTCCCGCCAGGCGGGTGTGTACCGGGGGCGTACTGTACCACAGCAGCCTCTGCCAGCTCTGGAGGGGTAAGTGTCTGTGTGTGTCCTGCAAGTGTGGGCCCGGGGACGCTTCTGCCGAGCGTCTGCACACGCTCCTACGTGCTTGGAGAGATCTGGCACCCCCGCGTGCGTCCTGTGAGAGTGAGCAGAACCCAACAAGGGCGGGCACCGGCTTCCTGCTCCGCTTCCCCGCGGTCCTGCCAGTGTGCACGAGGGGAAGGCGCGCGGTGCCCGCGGGTGTGCGCGCGCCGGTGCCAGCGCGAGTGAGTGCGGCGCCGCTCGCTCGGCTCGCTCCGCTCCGCGCCCGCCCGCGCAGCCCGCACACTCACGCCGCTTGGTTGCCGCCGAGTGACGCGGGCTGGGCCCGCCCCCCGCCTGCCGGCCCCCCCTCCCCTCCCCGGCACTCACTAGCCGGCCGCCGCCGAGCAGGCAGCAGCTGCATCAGGGCCGTCCGGGGGGCGCCGCCGGCGATGCCCGCAGCCCTCGCCGCGCCCCGCCGGGCCTGCTGAGCCGACCCCCTCCCCGCCCCCCACCCCCACCCCCATCCCCACCCCGGGCCGGGGCCGGGCCGCGCCCGGGCGGGGCCGCGCTGCCTGCATGACCCTCCGGCGGCGCGGGGAGAAGGCGACCATCAGCATCCAGGAGCATATGGCCATCGACGTGTGCCCCGGCCCCATCCGGCCCATCAAGCAAATCTCCGACTACTTCCCCCGCTTCCCGCGGGGCCTGCCCGCGGCCGCCGGGCCCCGCGCTGCTGCGCCCCCGGACGCCCCCGCGCGCCCCGCCGCCGCCAGCGCCGGCCGCCGCAGCCCCTCCGACGGCGCCCGCGCCGACGACGAGGATGTCGACCAGCTCTTCGGAGCCTACGGCGCCAGCCCGTGTCCCGGCCCCGGCCCCAGCCCGGCGCGGCCGCCCGCCAAGCCGCCCGAGGACGAGCCGGACGCCGACGGCTACGAGTCGGACGACTGCAGTAAGTTTCCAACTCGCCGACTTCCCGCCCCCTCCCCCGGCCCGGCCTCTGGCACGCTCCCCCGACCTCGCCGGTCCCCCGGTCCCCTGCGGTCTCCCCTTTCGCCGGCATCCACCCCCCGCCCGTGGCGGCCCCTCGCCTGCTCCGTGCGCCCTCCGCGCGCCCTGCAGACCTGCGCTGTTGCGGTGGGAAGTTTGGGGGCGCCCCCTGAGGGCGTCCCATTTGCGGGGCTCGGTTCTCCGAGCCCGCGCCGCGCCCCCTCTCGGCCCGCCCGCGGGGAGCTCCGGTGCGGGCGGCGGCTTTTGTTCCCGGGAAGGGCGGAGCTGCGCCCGGGAGAGACACCAGTTGCTGCCGGCCGCGCGGTCCTCCCCGCCCGGGAGCCCGCTGCGGGCCGGCCTAGCAGCCGAGGGGCCGGGCTGGGGCGGGAGGCGGAGGGGCCGGGGGCTGGGGCCGGGCCGGCCTCCCGAGTGGGCCCGGCGGCCCGCAGAGCGCAGCGGCTCTGCTGGCGCCCGGGCCGAGCACCAGAGCACCGCGGGGCCGCTTGTCCTTTGGAAAAACCTTAGCGGTTCCTCCCCCCGCGTCCGTGGACCCCGCCGCGGCGCTCTCCCGGGCCGCCGACCTTCGCCCACCTGTTACTCCCGCTTAACACCGCCAGGAAGCCCCCCCCCCCGCCCCCGGGCTGAGCCCCGAGCCCCAGGGAGTGGGCAAGCGCCGGGGTCCCCGGGGCCGAGGCCCGGCCGGCGGGCGTTCCTCGCCTTTCCGGTCTCTGAAGGTGCTTGCCGCGCAGGACCCGGGACTGGAGGGGAAACCGAGGCGGAGGAGGTCGCCGCCTGGTTCGGAAGGGGTTGGAGCGAGATGGGGGTGGGGGTGGGAGGTAGCGCTGCTCGCTAGGGCCCCAGCCCCGCCGTAGCCCCAGCCGCGTCACTGTCAGACCTGCCACACCAGCCCTGCCCCGGAGGTGGACCTTTTCCGGGTAGGGGTCTCGCCGGCTTAGCCAAGGGCCGCTCGGCCGGGTCCCCCCCGCGTGCAGCGCAGCGAGGGTGGCCGCGCCTGGTTTGGATGTTCACGTGGGCCTAGGGCCGGGGGTGGGGGTGGGGGTGGGGGGGGGGGGCGGCTGGAGTTTCCCCAAGCATAAAATGTGTCTCTGGAAGCTGAAGGTGGAGACTACCAGTGCCACTGGGGGAGGTGGCCAATCTCTCATCGGCCTACCTAGGGAGGCCCGGCAGGAGAGAGCTGGAGGAGGCCTGTCCTCCGCCCTCTGAGGAGGGGAAACTGTCCCCTGTGCACTTTGTGGGGGCCTGGACCTCGGCACTCTGGCCGCAGCCGGGTGTACGGAGGCCGGACTGCGCGGCCTGGGGCTGGGGAGCAGTCCTCTCCCTCCACCAGCTTGGGGAAATTGGGTCGACAGTTTCTGCCCTCGGGGCTGTGCCCTGGATCTTCCCTACCCCCCAGCTCCTGGCACCCTGGGCAAATCACACCCCTTCCCCTGCTGTGCATCTGGGCAGGCCCTAACTGGGACCCAAGTCACCCCTTTGGAGGCCCTGAACCCAAAGCCACCTCCAGAAGAAAGGGTAGGGAAAGTCCCAAACTCGGGCCCACTGCCTCATCTCCAGCCCATCGACTCCAGTCCTTCCTTCAGCGAGCACTGTCCCAGCAGCAGAGTGGGAAAAGGAAACAGGACTGGGTCTCAGGATCCAGGGGCCTCATGTGTCCTAGCAGGGGACAGACTCACTGGAGGCCTGCAGGGCAAGGCCATCCTGGGCACAGCCTTTGCCAGCCTGAATGGTGGGCTGGCCACACCCATATCACCACGCAGTCTGCTGAAAAGAGCTAAGGAAGAGGGCGTGTGGCTGAGCCAGGGCCAGCTTGGGCCCCCTCGTCCCCTTCAAGGAGCAGCCCGCCCCAGCCTTGGCTCCCATCAGTGGCTGAGCACACTTCCCAGGCAAGGGAACACAGAAATCTCGGCTCCTTCCTGTGGTGGGAGCCGGGTTCTGGCGCAGAACCCCTCTCCAGCCCATACCCCAGACCCAGGCCCCTTCTCGACTCTGACAACCAGATCCTGAGAATTAGCCTAAGTGATTCAAGCCAGATGGTTCATTACGGCTTTAGCCAGGGTTATGCTATTTGCTGCCCTAATTATTGGATTATCTCTAGTCTAACAAAGAGAAATTAGGGCAGTTGTTCTGTTGTCCAGGGTTGAGAATGAAGTGCTATTTATTTATTCAGCCTTTTTTCCCCCTTCTCTTTAAAGCTCATCCTTTATTAAGTCACCTCAAGACCCAAGCACAAAATTCACATGTTCCAAACTGATCTAATAGGGGGCAATGATGGGGCGCAAAGGCAGTGAGCGTAGGGTTTAGAAGTGTCCTCCCTCCCACTGGTCCACGGTGTGGCCTGGCCAAGCTGGACTCTGCTGCCCGCTGCCCCCCAGCCAGGTCCCGGGCCCCACCGCCCGCGGGTGCCCCTCCCCTGCCCTTGCTCTCCCACCCAGCCTCCACCTGTGGAAACCCAGGCCCTTCTTCAAAGCTATAAGGACTAGAATGTTTGGGTTGCAAGTAACAGAAAATGCAAAGTGTCTTAAACTATGGGGACAGTTGAGATCCCGTGACACCCAAGTAGGTGTATGCAGTGGCTCATCGGCATCCTCAGAGGTGATGGCTCTGTCCCCCTTTCCCCCTGGCTGTGCTCTGCTCCCCTTAGGCTCACCTCCTTCCTGGTCCTGGGTGGCTGCTTCAGGTCCAGGTGTCACATGTAACAGTAAGATCCTCAATTTGACAAGGACACGTTTCCTTGCCCGTATCTCAGTTGAAAAGCAAGGCAAGCTCTCCCAGAGTCCCCAGGAGACCTATCCTTCTGGCCCATCGGCCAGCCTGGCATCACATGCCCGTGCTGACACTGCCCTGCATGATTCGCGCTGGACCGGGTCAGGAGTGGTGCCCATGGAGGCCCGGAGCAGGGATGGAGTGGAGGAAGTGCCGTCCCCAAGGCCTTCAGCTGGGAGCGGTTCCCAGCCGGTTCCCGGCTGGCTGTGAGCCCCCCTTGGAGCCCAGTCATGTTCCACCCAGACCACAGTTTTAGGTACTCAACATTACAAGACCAGCTGTTCATCAGGCACTGTGCGAGACTCAAGAATGCCTGAGACTCAGTCTCTGACATGAGGGAGTTCATGGAAACCGAGAGGCACAAATAACCCAGCAGTGACAACAGGGAGGCAGGAACCCAAATGGGAAGCGCTGGTTTGCACAGAGTTTACCCACAGAGAAGGCTCTGCTCCGAGCCTGGGAGAAGGGAGGAAGCAAGCTGGCTGAGTAGAAGGAGGAAAGAGAGGTGCTCCTGGCAGGGGGACTGCCATGTACACAGGTAGAGGTGGGAGTAACAGCCCAGCAGAGGTGCCACAGTCAAGTGGCTGAAGTAAGGGGAAAAGATCCGTGTGATGGTCATATCACAGAGGGCCTTGAATGCTACACCAAGGAGGTTAAACTGAGTCCAGGAGGCAGTGTGAACCTTTGAATAATTTAAAGAAGGAGAATGAATAGACTTCTGAAGGTCCTAAAGTTCTTATTCTCTGCCTCTGAGCTCCTGGGAAGCAGGGACAGATGACTCATTCTTCTTTGTACCCCCTGCAATGCTTGGCTGAGTGCCTCAGTTTCCCCAACTATGAAATGCTTTCAACTCAGGCTTGACCGTTTTTCTGTGGTTCTTGTCACAGCTTTTAAAAACTCTTTGAGAGGCTGACATTTTTCTTCGAAAAAAAGAAAGAGAGAGAGAGAGAAAGAGAGAAGGAGAAAGAAAAGAAAGAGGGAGAGAAAGGAAGGAAGGTAGGTAGGAAGGAAGGAAGGGAGAGAGAGAGAGAGAGAGAGAGGAAAAAAAAGAAAGAAAAGAAAGAAAGAAAGAAAAAAGAGAACAGCCAGGGCCGATTTCCTATTCCCAAGGGTATACGGGTGCGGAAGGTCCAGGTGCAAACCAAGGTCAGAATGATGTTGTCAGTCTCCATCAGCAGAGCAAAGGGATGTTTGGCCTTAGAGGAACCGACTGGGGCTTGAGCCTGATTTTCTCTGAATTAGCCCCATTAAAGCTCTATAATTATCGACAGGCAGGTGACAGCTCTCCAAGGGCCATTAGTGACCAACCCTCATTATTTTTCCAAGGATGTAAACTTCATCCAGGACATGTGATTTCCGTGGGCGGAGGGCAGGACCCTGTGGCTCAGGCAGACGAGCCCCTTCACTTGACCTTAGGGCCCTCCTCACCTGCACCACAAGCCCACAGCCGTGTTTCCAACTCAGAGGCCCCTCTAGGATGGCAGCCCAGCCTCCCCGTCCCTGAGAGCCACTCTACTTTTCTCTCTCTGTTTCTCCATGGTATCCCCCTAAGATTTCAGCTCCACAAAGTAGCAGACAAAAAAAAAAAAAAAAAAAAATGTTGGAAGCCACTAGGCTTTGAGACAGGAACTGTCAGGATGGAAGTGAAGAGGCCTGGATTCTGTGTCCACTTCTGCTGGGCCACCCTGACCAGGTCACCTCCCCTCTCTGAGCCTCATTTCTCAATGGGAAATAAAGACTTTGGACTGTAAGATCCACCACCAGCAGATCTCTAAAAATGGTGACCACGCTTCTATTAATAAACTATTATTTCTTACAAAACCTCCATTGGAGTTCAAAAAAAAAAAATCATCCATCGCGTGGAGGGGGCGCTGGGTGCGCTGTTCCTTCCTGGGAATGGATGACGGGTGTCGGTTTCACTGAGCCGTGTCAGCCCTCCTTGAACAGGGATGTCTGCAGAGCCAGCGAAAGGGGCTCCGGTCCAGGACCAGAGTTTCCCAGTGGGGAGCAGGTGGCCCTTCCGTCTGGCTGGCTGCCCTTCTCTGGGAGCGGGAAATGGGCAGAGATTGTGGAGTGTGCATTTTAATGCATGGGCATCACCAAATCGCCGCTCCTGTGAACAGCCAGAGAGCAAACTGGCTTGAATGGACTGGCCGTGCAGACTGAACATCTGCTCTTTGTTGGTGTCACTGGCGTGGCTGAGGCATGGTCCCTCCTCTCTGGAGGCTGACGTCTTGAGAGAACAAGCCATGGGTAGGCCTGACCGGAACAGCAGACTGATCCACTGTCACGTCAAGCCAACATCTTTGGAGACTATTATAAAAGCATGTACCTGGAGAATCTTGGGCCCATGGCTGTGTTCGTTGTGACAGGCATGGTGATACATACCTCAGTTCCGGGCCCCCAACCTGTCCACCTGTGTAGTTGGGAGCCCGGATACAGGCAGCAAAGGGCCAGATACAGTTAGCACCAAAGCACACAGACTCTACTTAGGAAAAGCACCCTAGGGCGCCTGGGTGGCTCAGATGGTTAAGTGTCTGCCTTCGGCTCAGGTCATGATCCCGGGGTCCTGGGATCGAGTCCCGCATTGGGCTCCCTCCTTCTTGGGAGCCTGCTTCTCCCTCTGCCTCTCTCTCTCTCTCTCTCTCTGTCTCTCATGAATAAATAAATAAAATCTTAAAAAAAAAAAAAGGAAAAGCACCCTAGGCCCCACTCAGGGCCTATTGACTCAAAGTTTGGACACAATTCTAGCAAGGGCTGTTTGTGCTATCAGAGGCAAGTATTCTAAGAGGAGTTTCAAGTTGATGGCAAAGGAGGAGGCAGAAAAATGGAGAAAACCTAGGAAAGCCTCAAGTAGTGGCTGCTGGGGATCACTGGGCCTGGGCCGCGACCGTGATGCCCAGAACGGTAGTCGTGGTCACAGCGATGACTCAGGTCATGCAGAAGAGTGTAAGTGACTGTTTGTATATTCTCTTCACGAAGGCTGGGCGGGGAGTGATCCAGTTTGGAATGAGTTCATTCCAGAAGGCGTCTCGGAGGAGCAAGTACAGTTATCTAGAAAATTCACCTAAATGGATCTGCTCCTTCTGTCATTACGTACTGAGCTGTTCTGTACCCCAGGGGCTGTTGAAGCACAGTGCTGTGCGGTGGATACTGTTGTGTGACCAAAGTCACACAGCAAAGATGCAGATGAGGAAACTGAGCCCAAAGAGACTAGAGATGCTGTCTAAAGTCACACAGCAAGGAAGCGGGCAGCCAGGACTTGACCCCGGGGTCAGGTGGCAGAGGGCGGGTCTTGGTGCCCCACATGTGCCCCTCCCAGGCAAGCACAGAGACCGGGCCGGGTGCCTTACTTACCCTGCCTCAGGAGCTAGACAGCAAGACAAGTGCAACTCAGTGCCCGCACCTCAGAGTAAAGGGCAGCTCCACACACATGGGCCTTAATTTGCCCATTTCTCCGCAAAGCCAAAGGCTGCCATATGCTGGGGGGCCCCCACAGGAGCCCAGGGATCTGCGGGCAGATGGCATCTACTCAGCTCTGGCCTTGTCATGCAAAAGCAACCATGGACCAGATGTAAAGAGATGAGCGTGGCCGGGCTCGGCATGAATCTAGAACCATGTTGGGTGCCACTGGCCAGAAGAACAGAGCCCCGCCCTCCCCCCGCCTCCCCTAGTCGCCTAGCCCCCCACCTCCTGCTGGTCTGAGGTCCGAATGCCCTCCCCCCCCGCCGAGCGCCACTGTGCGCTGGCCAACTCCTGCTCAATCTTTCATGGCTCAGGTGAAGCATCACCTCCTCTGGGGAGCCTTCCCTGGTGGCCCCCATTCACAGCAGGGCAAGGAGAACCCCTTGAACCCCTATCGCTCCTGGCTTACCAGGCTCTGCTAGGGCTGATTCTTTTCATTTGTTTCTCCCATTAAGCTATGCTTTCCTTAGGGCAGGAACCCCGCCTTATTGGTATTTTCATCCCTAGAGTCCGGCTTATTGTAATAAGGCTTGGTAAAGAAGAATGAATGATTGATTGAATGAATGAATGAATGAATGGATGGATGGCAGCCGAGCAGCCCAGCAGTCTGTGTGCAGGATCTGGGTTTCTAAAGATATCCTGTCAATGTGCATCTTGCTGTCCGGAGACTTGCCCCCTGAGGCCCCCCCCCGCAACCCCCACCTTCACGCCAGGAGCCACGTGAACATGGCCGGCTGCGGCTGCCGCGTGTGATTGTCCCCGAGGACTACAGCTGCAGTCAGTTACGGCTGCACGCTCTGCCCTGCCCTAGGGAATCGCCCGCCCTTTCAGAGACTGGCAGGTAGCAGGGTGAGGACCCAGCGGGCTCCTCGCAGCCGGTCCCCGGGCCCCCCAAGGGACCAGAGAGACTGGGGAGCCAAAGCCCTAAGCGTTGCTGGGGGTGGATCAGCCAGTCAGCCTGGCCAGGGCCCAGAGCTTCTCACGGCCCTGTCTGTTCTGCCTTCTCACACAACCCTTGTGACATTTAACAGGTCAGGGAAACTGAGGCATGGAGCCAAGCTGGCAGTTGCACAAGGAGGACAGGAACCTTTAGCTAAATGTCCTGTACAGGGGGCACAACGAGCCACAGGCCAAGCACCACAGCACTGCATGGGGGCTGACCTCACCGAGCCTCCGCTCCTCCCTCAGCTGGACCTGAGAGGGATATCGCTCACTTCCCAGGGTTGGTGGGACTGGGAGGCCGGGCGGACGGATTGCATGCAGTAGGTGCTCCACTGATGGCAGGCGCTGTGGCGCTGTGGCACCTCGTCCCACCACACAGGGGTGGGTGACGCGCCTCCCCTGTGCAGCTGATGCATGACCTGAGCCCTCTGTCCGCAGCTGCCCTGGGCACGCTGGACTTCAGCCTGCTCTACGACCAGGAGAACAACGCCCTCCACTGCACCATCAGCAAGGCCAAGGTAGGCCCCCGCCGGCCCCCATGGTCCCCAGGGTCCAGGGCCCTTGGGTGGAGGTGAGGGGCTGAGGTCCGAAGGCCTGTCCTCCCCACTGTTTCCTTCCAGTCTCTGTGGCATCTGTGCCGTGGGTGCAGGGCAGGGAGGGAATTCTTGCCTAAATCATCTCCGCTGCCCTAAAAAGCCCTGCCCAGACAGACATTCAGGGAAGGAGTGGAACAAAAAAAGCAAGAAGAGAATGAGAGAAGGAAGGCATGGGGGAGGGGGGCAGGGGGGCAGAGCTGGGGAGGGTCTGTGGTGGGGAGGAAGGGAAGGGAAAAGATGACAGGTCTGTCCTGGTGGCCAAGGGGGAGTTGGATTGGTTGCCTCTGGCCTCCTGAAGTTCCCAACACCCCAGACTCCTCGAGGAGTAGGTGGGCTCTAGGCAGGAGGTTCGTCTCCTTTGGGCTCAGGGCCCCAGCCTTGCTCTCTGGTCTCTGGGCTGAAGCCGTGAGCATCCCCCCCCTTGGGCTGGCAGGCATCAGCTCTCTTCTTCATGCTGTCCCCTTCGCCCACTGCATCCGTCCCTCTGGGAAGAAGGTGCCAAAGTTGATGTTCTCTCGCAAGGTAAGGGTGGTAGTGTAGCCTAGTAGGACTCCCAGTAGAGCCATGGAGGGGCCTGGGCCAGGCTCAGAGCAAGCAGCTTCCAGTGGAGTCGCCTGGGCCCAGACCCCACCCTCAGTCCTACCTGTGCGCTTCTGTGCCCCTCAGCACGCCCACCCATGGCTCACATGGCCCACTCCGAGGGGCCGGCTGCCTGGGTCTTCCTCAGCTATCCCCACCCAGCCTGGGCCAGCACACCCAGACCGCCATGGCGCTGGGGAGCAGTGTCCGCTTCGGGCCCAGGGCCCTGATCGGGCACCGGAGAGGCCCGCATGTGCCGTCCGGGCCCTGCCCTCTCAGCTGCCCAGGCTGTGATGCCGGGGCTCCAGACCTGCCCCTAGGGAAGGAGCTGAGAACGGTGACTGCCCGGCTGTGCCAAGGTGGAGGGCAGGCTGCAGGGCCCAGGCAGATCCCTTTCCCTCTCCCTCCACCCAGCTTTGTAGAGGTTGTCCAGGCTTAGGAACTGGGAATGGGCACCTGCTCCCAGGCCACTCTGGCCAAAGCCGTCCATTCTCCTCCCCATCCCAGACACCGGGCGCCTCCTGTGCTGTGTGCCCTGCCTTCCCTACCCGGGCTCTAGAAGGACTGTGGGGTTGTAGTGGGTTGGGGGGGGGGATGCACGTGTGCCCACGTGGGTCTCCATGGGCGCCTGTGTGCACACACACACGTGTGTTGTCCTTTGGGGTGTGTCATTCAAAGCATTGGAGGTGGGGGGTGAGAGGACCCCAAGCCATAGAAGGACTCCATTCTCAGGTCATTGTCTGCTTAGACCTGGTTTTGCAGGGGAGGGGGTGGTGCAGGCCTGGGAGGAACTGGGGCTCTTGTTCAGGGTTTGGGTGAGGAACAAAAGGGGGGTTAAGGAGGCTGAAGCAGGGCTGACAGGCGGAGCCCCTTGAGGGGCTCTGGGAGGAGGCCAGATGCTGTGGGGCTGGACCCTAACTTGGCCCCTACCCTCTGGGGAAGCAGGGCAGCTTAGTGTGCTCTTCTATAAAACGGTTAATCACCCCACCTATGTGGTGGCTGTGAGCATTAAGTGAGTGCTCAGTCCCAGCTGCCGTCCTGGAGGACTGCCTGGTGGCAGGCACCCAGCCCCACCCACACAAACACAGACACCTGGGGACTTAGGCACAGAGGGACCCGCAAAACGCTGCCTGGCCGGCCAGTCCTGCACACGTCAGGGACAGCTGGTGAGGCCGAGATGAGGGACTTGCGTCCGGGGCGGGGGTGGAGGGGGTGGCGGGGGGGGGGGTGGGGCGCGTCCTCGCTGTTGGGGGCACACGGTTGCCACGGAGCCCCAGCAGCTCCCGCACAGCTCAGGTACCCTTACACTTGCCCTCCACCACCTCTCTGGCATCTTCCAAGGGGCCTGCCACGTGGGGAAGGGGCACAAATGGCCTACGGCCAGGCCGCGCGCCACCACCATTGCCGCCCCCACCCCTGGTCCGCCCCTGGGAAGTGGGAACCAGCAACCGCTTTTCCAGACGATCAAGCTGAGGCTCTGGGGGCAGAGTAACTCCTCCCCTTTCCCAGCTGATAGTGCAGGAGCCGAGATCTGGGCCCCAGCCAGCCTGGCTCTGAAGCCTGCGTGCTCCCCCCCAGCAGCAGAGCAGCGGGGAGAGTGGAGGACCCGACCTCCTGTCTCAGCCCCCCGAGGCCCCCGCTCTCCGAACCAAGCCAAGGTAGTGGGGTGGGAGCCTCCGTTCTCCTTGGAGGTGGGGCTGGGCACGAGCGGCCAGCTTGGCAGTCCATCTGGGATGCCACGCGCCTCAGCTGCTGCCCGCACGCCTGTGTGGCACCGCAGGAGAAAAGGAGTATGATTTTCAGAGATAAGAGCAGTCCCGAGGTCGGCTCAGCCCCCGTCTGCTTACGGTTGCCTCACTTCCCCAGCTGTGCACACTTGATGATCGTTCCAGGTTAGTGAGGGATGCCATCTTGTGGAGGGACCCTCCCTAGCCAGCCAGCTTGTCTGGGCTCCTCGGATTCAGGGCTGGCAGGGAGCTGAGGCAAATCCGGAGAGAAACTGGGCCTGGTCTCCAGGACACAGAACATGTTCTCGTGGTAAAGAGGGCACCCTGTCGGTGAGAGGACAGAGGGTCACGGGGACATAGGATCAGTGAGGGAAGTCCCCGGGTTTGGGGGGGTCGGGAAGGGGAATCCAGAAGAAGGAAGGGCCTCAGCAAAGCAGGATGGTGAGGAGCTCATTCAGAGGAGGGGTCACCTGGCCTCCATGAAAGGGAGACTAGAAAGAGAAAGGCTGGCCTGACAAAGTCACGCCGTGACACCTGCCCTGGGCCAGGACATTTGGGGGGGAGGGCAGAGCACACCAGCACTGAGCCATCCTCCCTGTTCCGAGAGTGTGGGCTTGGGGGGGCCTCTGCAAATGAATGGACCCGGTCAGAAGGCCTGGGGACAAGGGATGCCTGCCCAGCGAGGTGCCTGGCTGCTCCGTGTCCCCAGCTCCCATTTCACACCTTCTGCCATTCGCCTCCACTCAGGGCCTGAAGCCGATGGACCACAACGGGCTGGCAGACCCCTACGTCAAGCTGCATCTGCTGCCAGGCGCCAGTAAGGTGAGGGGGTCGACCCCAGGCCCGCCAACCAGCTCTGCCTGCTGTGACCGGGGACCCTGGCTGAGCTTGGGACACCGAGGGAGGGGCATACGTCCCCTACCCCCTCACAGACCAAGCAAGTTGATGGGACCTCAGCGATTCACCTCCACCCAGAGCACCCAGTCAGCCCCACAGCCCCCAGACTTCCCGGGAACCTCAAGTCGGTATGACTTGACTGATGAATTGGGGAAACCCTCCAGAGACTTTCTAGGCCAGCATTTTATAAGAAGCGGACTCAGTTGGAGGTTACTATGTGGGGGTTGGGGAATAAAGGGCTCTGTGGCCAGATAACATTGGGAAGTCTGGGTAAACCGGTTCCTTTACTCTAGGACTTATCAGAGCCTTTAACATGTTGATGGGCTGCCCTGCGACACTCCACAAGGGGGAATGAGTGGATAGATTCTGCCCAGTTCTTGGACCACAGACCCCTTGTTCCTGTACTAGGTGACCCAGCAGGCCGACCAAGCACTGGTACGCCTAGGAAAAGAGAAATTTTTTTAGAAAAAAATTTGCTATTAAACAAAAGCATCAAGGTGACCTTCAGCACTGGAAGACCAGAAGTGTTTAGACTTTCTTAAATGTGTCTTACAGTTCAGTGGTGTTTTATTCTTAATTTCATGAGAGGGAGGGTTAGATCATCTTTTCAGAGTTGGGTCTGGGACCCACAGACTTTTCAAGGGGCAGGTTATGTGGGCCCTGGTGCTGGGGAGGGGATGGGGACCAACTAGAGCCTAGCAGCTTTGCTTCCAAGAGGAGACCAGAGGGGGGCGGGGCACATGGGCCCCAAGACACAGCAGGGCCCAGTGGCTGGTGTTCTTGACCCGGCCTCTTTCTATGAAACCAAGAGCTGGGGAATTACTTCCTGGCCTTCAAGTGGCCTGATGAGAGGAGCCTGTAACGGGAACGCTGTCCTGGGCAGAGGGCCTCCCTTGCCACTGACTCTTCCAGGCCACCTGAGCAGTCCTGCGCCCAGGCTGAGGAGTCCGGGGCTGCTGGGGCCCGAGCTGAGTCTGAGGCCCAAGCCCTCTGGGCCGGTGTGTAAGGGCCGAGGCTCCCCGCCAGTCCAGGAGGGCCACCCGACAGAGGCGATGACTCCGCCTCTGGGAGGGCAGGGCAGTGGCCCACCACCTGTGTATGCCCAGGGAAGCTGCTCACGGCTCCAGGCCTCGATGTCCCCCTGTTGCAGCTGGAACTCCCAGGGCTGTGAGGGCAGTGTGACCAGGGCAGTGTCCCCAGCCCAGGAGCTCAACGGCTGTGAGTCCCTAGACTCAACAGGACCTAGAATCGGCAATACTGCAAGGCTGAGTGATAGGGATCTTCCCACACGGACAGGATTTCCCCCATAGGGCAGTGGTCTCTGAAAAGCAGGCTCCTGAGGTATGATGATGCCCTTTTATACAGTGGGGAGCCTGCCACTCACAGAGGGTAAGTAAGCTGCTGGGCTGCACGGGGCTGAGGCAGGTGATGGAGCGGCGCTCGGGACGCGGGCCTGCCTCACCTCAGAGCCGGGCCGCGGTGGCGGTCATCCAGGAGATGCAGTCATGGTGCTGAGTCTGAACGGGCAAGACCGGGAGGAGCCCGAGGACCGAGAGCTAGAGAAGCACAGGGGAAGGAGGGGAAGCAGCGTGGCAGCTTGGACACGCCACCCCACAGGCATTTCCTTAGGAGAGGCGGCGTTCCAGGGAGCGGGCACAGCCTGCGCAAAGGCAAGGAGGTGTGTGGGAGAGCTCCCCGGCAGCCCCAGCCCCTCCTGTGGAACCTCTGCACCCCCCTCAGCACATACTTGGGGCCCGGTGGCGGGGAGCCCCCCCCCCAGGTTTCAGGTTCCGAGAGCTGCAGTGGCCAATTACCTCCAACTCTTAGTGGCCTGCACCACACGTTTCCCGCCTTCCAGGGCCGTGGGTGAGGTGGCACGGCTCCCACACGGGTCAAGTCCAGTGCGGCGGGGCTGCAGTCCGTTCTGGGGGCTCTTGGGGAGATGCGATTCTCATCCTTTTCCAGCGCCTAGAGGCCACCCACACTCCTTGGCTCTCGGCCCCTCCATCTTCCTCGCCAACACCCCCATGGAAATTCTTCCCTCCTTCCGTGTCCCTCTGGCGCTCCTCTCCTGCCTCTGTCTTTCCAAGGTCCCTGTAATCACATGGCGTGAGGCCTGCCCAGATCACCTGGATAATCTCCATATTTTAAAGTCAGCCAAGGGCGCCTGGCTGGCTCTGTCAGTGAAGTGTCTGCCTTTCGTGGGCTCGTATCGTGATCCCAGGATCCTGGGATCGAGCCCCGCATTGGGCTCCCTGCTCAGTGGGGAGTCTGCTTCTCCCTCTCCCTCCGCCCCTCCCCCTGCTCTCTGTCAAATAAATAAATAAAATCTTTTAAAAAAAGATAAAGTCAGCCAATTAACAACTGATTCCCCTCAGCATATTCAGTTTCTGGGGACCGGGCAAGGCCATTTTTGGGGCCATTATTCTGCCCCTTGAGCTCCCTGATGCTCAGAGCATCTTTTCTGCTCTCACCAGGCAAATAAACTCAGAACGAAAACTCTCCGAAACACTCTGAACCCCACGTGGAATGAGACCCTCACTTACTACGGGATCACGGATGAAGACATGATTCGAAAGACCCTGCGGTGGGTGAGGGCCCCAGACTCCTTGCCCCCCACCCCTCCCCCACCTCACCTGCAAGCCCCCCTCCCCCACAAATCCCTGCTGACTTGGGAAGCAAAGCGGGAGCACCCCCGTGTGTCTGAAGAGCAGGCCGTGCCGCCCATCCTCCAGGATCTCCGTGTGCGATGAGGACAAATTCCGCCACAACGAGTTCATCGGGGAGACGCGCGTGCCCCTGAAGAAGCTGAAAGCCAACCACACCAAGACGTTCAGCATCTGCCTGGAGAAGCAGTTGCCGGTGAGTGGGTGACGGGGCTCCACGGGCTGTGCAGGGCCCTCCCTGCCGGGAGCACCCACTCAGTGCCTGGCACGGCTTCAGGTGCTGGCGGAACGGGCCAAAATCCCTGCCGCACGGAGCTTGGGCAGCAGACAGACTCCAGACCAAGTGAATGACCCGAACAGAGCCTATGTCAGACAGGGATCAGGGTCGCGCTGGAGGTTTGGGGGATATTCCTGGCAGAGGGAACAGCAGGTGCGAAGCCGTTGGAGGCACAAGCGATACCCGCTGCGTGGGGCAGGGAGCAGGATGGGACTGGGTCCTAGGAGGCGAGATCAGAGGCTGGTGGGTGGGGAGCTGGGAGTGAGGCGGGCCACTGAGGGATGCCAGGCAGGGGCGAGGGCATCTGACTGTTTAGCAGGCTCGATGAGTGGAGGTTGGGAGGGAGAGGAGGCTGAGGGTGGGGAGGGCTGTGAGGGGATGAGGCTGACCCAGCCTGGGCCGGGGCCCCAGCAGAGGAAGAGAAGTGCTGGCAGATCAAGCATTCCCAGACGTGGATGGGGGGAGCACCTGGAAAGACGGGTCACTCACTGTGATGTGGAGGCTGTGGGAGGAGCAGCTGGGGATGCTCCGGAGCTCAACTGGAACGTGATAGGCATGAGGTGCCTGTGAGCTACCTACAGGAGACAGAAAATACTTCTTTCCTAGAAATTGCAATTTTTTGAAAATAATGTCAAAACCAGTCTTGCCTCCTGTTGTCTGCAGCAGCTGAGCCCACCCCAAGCTCTGTCCATCTGTGTCTCTCCTCTCCCCCTCCTCCCTCCCCTCTCCCCCTCCTCCCTCCACTCTCCCCTTACCCATCTCTTGGCCTGGCCTTCACCCTGTTCAGAAGGGCCAGGAGGCATTGACCAAGAGGCCCCAGGGTCCCAAGACCTTCCAGGAGCCCAGTGTTCAGGGCTCCTTTTTTTTTTGTATTCATTTGAGACAGAGATACAGAGCAAGTGAGAGAAAGAGCAGGAGCAGTGGGGAGGAGCAGAGGCAGAGGGAGAAGCAGACTCCATGCTGAGCAGGGAGCCTGATGCGGGACTCGAACCCAGGACCCTGGGATCATGACCTGAGCCGAAGGCAGACGCTTAACCATCTGAGCCACCCAGGCGCCCCCAGGGCTCCCTTTTTAGGACATTGTCCTCCCTACAGGCCTGGGCAAGGGGAAAGTTCAAGAGGACAGAGCCTAGCGGCCAACCCATCCCTCCCTGGTGGGGCCTAGGCTCTGTGCAGGCTGGCCCAAGTCAAGCCCTGGGACAAAGTCAGCCTGAGGCCAAGATCCCAGCTCTGCCTTTTTGCATAATTTGATCACATTTTATTCCCTTGTCCCATTCTTTCCTACTCATAGACATTTGTATGATGGGTATAGCCTTTTCTATTTTATTAATCACGAACCAAAACGCAGTTTTCCCAAATGATCTATGTCACTTGTAAAAGGCACCATCAACTCCTACTAAGTTGTGTTGGAGTTTTGAACCCTGGCGTAACAAACAGCTGTGTGGGGACGTGAGCGCGCAGGGGTGTGTGTGCGAGCGTTTGTCTGCCATGTTTTCAAGGATGTGGGGTGTGTGTGTGCGCGCGTGTTCATGCACGTGGCTGCGTGGGAGTATGGGCATGCCTTGCTTGAATTTGCTAGTGCTCATCGCTCTAGATTCAGAGACATACGGTGGCCACAGGAGTGCAGTTCAGGATGAGTACTCTGGCGGTAAAGACACATTTTGATGGTACATTTTAGATTCACGTGGTGTGTGAACATTAGTCATTCTCAGTAAATACTGAACAATGCCCAGTTCAATGGGCTTCTTATGAAACAACCCAATGTATAATGTCCCAGCCCCAGAAAGACGGCTGAAAACACTCCTGCTCGTTTATATTGTTTAATTTTCATACCTCACGCAAACTAGCACAAGATCACTGTTTTAGTGAGGCCATCTACACAAAGCCCTAGGCCAGAGTGGCAGAGCGTTCAATCTCGCATGCCTAGTCTGGTCTGTTAATGATGTCTGCCAGCACTAAAAGATGCTGAAGCTTCCTTTGAGCTCAGAGTAAATGCAGCAATCAATTAATCATGTCTGCTGTGGGTGTGGGAATTGGGGAAGGTGGCCCTCACTTGGCCTCACAGTAGCCCCACCTCCAGAGAGGTGTTAGGCATGGCCCCTGCCTCTGAGGAGCCACATGGAGAATCACTTTAGTGACAAGCAGAGGACCATCATGGGCAAAGAGACATGGCTGGGACTTCAGTGAGAGAAGCCTGGCAGAGAAGCCTAAGGAGGGGACCTGGGAGCTCTAGCTGGGGGTGTCCGGGTGGACAGAGGGTAGGAGAAGGAGTTCCAGAAGAGCAGGAGCCAGACGGTGGAAAGTGGCCTCAGGAGGGTAAGGAATGGAAAATCTCAGGCTAGTTGGGGCAGGGAGGTGGAGGGGGACACCTCTAGCTGAGGTCTGATCCCTGAGGCCTGGACAGCCGCTGTTTGCCTCCCTGCTCCCCTTGGAGTTGGGAATATGTCAAAACTCTGTCTTCTGGGTGCTCCCCAAGGGGCTCCAGGAAGCACCTGCAGGGGGCTGAGGCCAAGGTGACCCCTCCCCATCCCCTGGGCCAGCAGACCGCCTCAGTAGCCCATGGCTGAGGGAGGGTGTGGGAGCAGGTGAGAATAGCCAAGTGGCTGCCTGCCCAACAGGTGGACAAGACTGAAGACAAGTCCCTGGAGGAGCGGGGTCGGATCCTGATCTCCCTCAAGTACAGCTCACAGAAGCAGGGCCTGCTGGTCGGCATTGTGCGCTGCGCCCACCTGGCGGCCATGGACGCCAACGGCTACTCGGACCCCTACGTGAAGACGTGAGTGTGTGGCCCAGGCCAGCCATCTCCTCCCCCTTCCCCTCGAAGGAAGGAGTTCAGTGGAGCAAAGCAGCAACAGAGCTCCAGAAGCACAGTGGGCAACTGCGCCTACAGGGGCGTAGCCTCTGCCGGACTCCTTTGGCAACACTGTGGGTTAAGTCTGGCCAGCCCCATTTCACGGATGAGGAAACTGAGGCCTGTGGAACTCGAGTGGCTTCCCAGGTCATGCAGAGAGAGGAGTTCTCTCCTGACTCCTCATTCAGACCTCCCCTTGACTGTGACCTCAGGAGGGGCCGTTAGCAGGAGCAGGTGGGCCTGGGCCAGACCAGAGATCCAGGGAAGAAGCTCCACTAGGACGTAGTGCTGCCCACCTGCGCCCAGCCCTGTGCTGGTGCCACGGGTGCTGCTAAGGGGCCACCCAGCCTCCCAGCGGGGCTCACGGGGATACTGAAGAGAAACCCTAAGTCGGGGGGCCGTGTGAAGCAACATGGGCCCCAGGCTAGGCTGTGGTCCTCGCTCTGAGGGGAAGGCAGGAGCTGGTGGCCCTTCAGATGGAAGGAAGCAGGTGGCTCACTGAGCACCATCAGGGCTCTGGGCCTTCCGCAAATAAAAGATGGCCATTAGTGTGCGCTCACGGTGAGACTTTCTTGGAGGATGGGACATGGAGAGGAATTTGGCCCAGCCAAAAGGAGGTGTTCCTGCTTAGGTCGAGGAATAAAGGAGCTAAGACACAGAAGCAGGGATAAGCCTGGCCTAAGGGGACGGTGGGGAGCCCCAGGTGCCAAAGGCCATGGGAAGCCAGGGCTACCATTCCCACTGGCCACTATTCTATTTCTCTCGGTTTTAAAATCCTATTACAGGGGCACCTGGCTGGCTCAGTCAGCGGAGCAAGTGACTCTTGATCTCGGGGTTGTGGGTTCGAGCCTCATGTTGGGTGTAGAGACTTTCTTTTTTTTTTTATAATTTTATTTATTTATTTGACAGAGAGAGACACAGCGAGAGAGGGAACACAAGCAGGGGGAGTGGGAGAGGGAGAAGCAGGCTTCCCTCAGAGCGGGGAGCCTGATGCGGGGCTCGATCCCAGGACCCTGGGATCATGTCCTGAGCCGAAGGCAGACGCTTAATGACTGAGCCACCCAGGTGCCCCTGTAGAGACTATTTTTAGAGATTTTATTTAAGTAAAGAAATAAAATCCTATTACAAAAATGGTGCAGCCACTTTGGAAAATGGTCTGGCAGTTCCTCAAAGGTTAAACACAGGGTCACCGGATGATCTAGCAATTCTACACCCAGGGGCACACCCGAGAGAAGTGGAAACACGTCCACATAGACACTTCTACGTGAATGTCCATAGCAGCATTATTCACAGTGGACAAAAGGAAACCGCCTAAATGTCCATCAACTGATGAATGGAGAAACAAACTGGGCCATATCCATACAATGGATTATTATTCAGCTATAAAAAGGAGTGAAGGGGCGCCTGAGTGGCTCACTCGGTTAAATGTCCGACTCTTGATTTCAGCTTGGGTCATATCTGAGGTCATGGGGTTGAGCCCCGCGTCAGGGTCCGCACCGGATGTGGAGCTGGCTTCAGATTCTCTTCCTGCCTGCCCCTTCCCCTCAGTGTACTCACTCTGTCTCTCTTCCAAAAAAAAAAGGAGTGAAGTAATAATTCATGCTTTAACATCTATGAACCTTGAAAAGATTATTACAAGATTATGCTAACTGAAAGAAACCAAACACAAAAGACCACACCTTATATAATTTCATTTATATGAAAGTCCGAAATAGGCAAATCCAGAGGCAGAAAGCAGATTAGATGAGTAGTGGCCAGGGGCTGGGAGAGGCAGTGGGGGGGTGGGGGTGTAACCGGATTTCTTTCCGAGGAGATGAAATGTTCTAAAATTGATTGTGACGGTTTCACAACTCTGTGAATGGACTAAAAACCATTCAATTGTATAGTTTAAAAGGGTGCATTTTACAACATGTGAATCATATTTTAGTAGAGCTGTTATTTTTTTAAAAATCCAATGCCACCAGGCCCAGGAGCAGTGCCAGGTACAATGGGAAGCTGACCAGAATCATTGGGGGAAGGATGTTCCCCGCACATGGTGCAGGGACTACTGGTTTTCCACATTAAAAAAAAAAAAAAAAAAGTGGATTGGGTCACCACCTCAACCATTAACAAAACTGTGATTTCCGGTGGATTAGAGACCACTGTGAGAGGAAATGCCATAACCATTCCGAAAATCAGCAGGAGACTCTTTATAACCATTGGAGGGAAAGTCGGTAATATCCAGTCAATGAGGCCAGTGTGCACACCCTCTTGGCTGCATTATTTCCCCTCCCGTTTTGTATCCTAGAAACCCGTGTACTGGTGAAGGGCTGTGCACCGCGGCATTCCTCATCATGGGCATACACCAGAAACAGCCAAGCATTTGTCAGCAGAGGAATAGATTCATAAAATGTGGCATATGTATAATATAGTACAATGCAGTTAGAATGAATACATTAGGACTAGGTAAATTAACATGGATAGCTATCCAAACATGCTGATCCCAAAAAGCAAACTTCGGAACAGTGCCAGTGTGATACTGTTTCTGTACATTTGTGTATCTCAAACCCTGCAGAGAATGTCACAGTAGCAGTGTCTCTGGGGAGGGAGGGACTGGGGAGGGCGATAAAGTGCCTGCACTTGTAACTTGTGATGCTAGAGTTCCCACAGGGAAGGAAAGACAATCCAAAGCCAAAATGATGGTGAGATTTTAAAATCTGGCTCAGTGTCCACCAGCCAGGTTGACAGGAGTTCCAGGGTCCTATGCTGGATTAAAAGTCAGGTTTATTGAGATAGAATTTACACACTGTAAGTTTCCCCCCTTTTGAAGTTCAGGGGATGTATACAATCTTGTGACCACCACCACAGTCAAGATACAGAATCCTTCTATCACCCAGAAAGTTCCTCTAGCCCCGGGCAACCACTGATACGTTTTCTGTCCCAATAGTTTTGCCTTTTCCAGACTTTCTTCTAAAGGCAAACTTTCCGTATGTTGCCTTTGGAATTAGCTTCTTTCATATAGCATAATGCATTGGAGATTCATTATTGCCAAGTAGTCATCCATAGAGAAACCACAAGTTGTTGTTGAGTTCACTTTATGATGAAGTGCACTTGAGTTCCTTTTTTTTTTTTTTTTTTTTGAGTACAGTTGACCCACCATGTTACATTAGTTTCCGGTGTACAACATAGTGACTGGATTGTTGTATACACTATGCTCTCCCCAAGTGTCGCTAACCTGTCACCATATAACACTGTTGCCCCAGCACTGTTGACTATCCCCTGTGCTGTGCCTTTCATCCCCCTGCCTTAGTCCTTCCAGAACTGGTAGCCCCGGCTCCCACTCCCCTTCACCCATCTTGCCCACCCCTGTGATCACCTCCCTCCCCTCTGGCAATCACCGGTTTGTTCTCTGTGTTTGTGGGTCTGTTTCTGCTTTGTTTGTTTATTTATTTTTTTTTTACTGTTTTGTTTATTTATTTATTTATTCAGTACAGGAAGGGGGAGGGGGAGAGGGAGGATCTCCAACAGAGTCCACGCTGAGCAAGGAGCCTGACGTGGGACTCAGTCTCATGCCCCCGAGATCATGACCTGAGCTGAAATCAGGAGTCAGACACTCAACCACCTGAGCCACCCAGGCGCCCCTGTTTCATTCTTTAGATTCCACATATGCGTGAAATCACATGGTAGTTGTCGTTCTCTGTCTGACCTATTTCACTTACCATCATACTCTGTAGCTCCATCCACATTGTTGCAAATGGCAAGATCTTTTTTTTTTTTTTATGGCTGAGTAATACTCCTGTGTGTGTCTCACATCTTAATCCATTCATCTAGCCATATCCTGGCTATTGTAAATAATGCTGCAGTAAACACAGAGGCGCAGCTATCTTTTTGAATTGGCATTTTCATTTTCTTTGGATAAATACCCAGTAGTGGAATTACTGGATCATATACTTTTCTTTTTTCCACCCTACCATTTATTTATAATTGAAGGATGGTGGGCAGATAATGTTATGTCAGTTTCAGGTATACAACAAGTGCGTACATGATGCTGTTCTTGCCCCAAATGTAGCTGCAGTCTGTCCCCATACAACCCTGTGACAGTGCCACCGACTATATTCCTTATGCTGCACATCTTATCCCCATGACTTACTCATTTTATACCTGCAAGCCTGTTTTTCCCACTCCCCTTAGTATTTGTTTTCTTCTTACAGGGAGAGAGCGAGCAGGTGCGTGAGCGGGGCAGGGGAGGGGCAGAGGGAAAAGGAAAGAGAGAATCGTAAACAGACTCCATGCCCAACGCGGAGCCTGATGTGGGGCTCGACCTCAAGCCGCTGTGATCATGACCTGAGCCAAAATCAATAGTCAGATGCTTAACCGACTGAGCCACCCAGGCGCCCCTCCCCTTGGTATTTTTGGAGGAACCTCTAGATAGTTTTCCATAGTGGCTGTACCAGTTTACATCCCCAACAGTACATGAAGGTTCCTTTTTCTCCATCCACATCCTTGTCAGTACTTGTTTCTCCTTGTCTTTCTATTCTAGTCATTCTGACAGGTGTGAGGTGCTATCTCATTGTGGTTTTGATTTGCATTTCCCTGTTGCTGAGTGATGTTGAGCATCTTCCCATGTGTCTCTTAGACAACCGTATGTCTTCTTTGTCAGATATTTTTGGTGTTGAGTTGCATAAGTTCTTTACATGTTTTGGGTATTCACCCCAATAACAGATATATCATTTGCAAATATCTTCTCATTCAGTAAGTTTCTTTTCGTTTTGTTGTTGGTTTCCTTTGCTGTGCAAAAACTTTTTATTTTGTTGTAGTCCCAATAGCTTATTTTTGCTTTTGTTTGCCTTGCCTGAGGAGACATATCTAGAAAAATGTTGCTAAGGCTGATGTCAGAGAGATTGCTGCTTATATTTTCTTCTAGGAGTTTTATGGTTTTAGGTCTT